TAAAAAAAAAAATTTATGATCTCAAATTATATAAATAAAAAAGAATTTATAAGCAGCTTATACAAAGTCCATATTTGAGCTCAATTCTTTAAAAACTCATTTTTCTTCAAATTTAGCTCAATGTTTAGTGGCCATTATTTTTTTAAAAAAAAATTGTTTTAAATAGTGAATTTTTGGAGAATATATAGTTGAAAAGTAAGAAAAAAAATTATTTTACTTGTAAAATATTTTATTGTGTAAATATATAATTGAAAATGAATATGTAGAAAGAAGAATTTTTGAAAAAAGAAAGTCCATCAATCAGAGAATTATTTTCAATAGCATATTCTATCAATAAAATAAATTTACATACAATAAAAAAAATTTTTTTAACTATATATTTTTGAAAAATATTATTAAAAAATTTATTTAAAATAAAATGAGACTCGAAGAAATCCTAAATCTCGCTCTATTGCAAAGCAGGTCGTTTTATTTTATATATAAAAAGGAAAAAATGATGATGAACTTTTTCACCCCCGTCACCACGAAGAATAACGTGGTTGAATTATTATGATTGGCCCACCTTATCACGTTTAAGCAAAACCACTGGATGCCCAATGGCAATTGAGAGAGACAAATGCATACGGAGTCAAAATTGCTGTGTCGTTCAATTAAAAAGTTAGATTTTAATTTAAATTAAATTTAATAAAATCTTAATCACGAAATTTATAACTTTCAACCACACATTCATTTAACTTTTATTAAAATTTATTAAAAATTTTGATTTTTTATCTAAACCTAACATAGACTTAATTAGCAACAATGCTACAAAGTGTAAAAGAACTGACTTTTACTCTACTTTGTCAAATATGTTATAATTTACGTTAATTCATAGTATTGAGTGTTACCAAGCTTCCGTCTGGTTTGGATAAAAATTAAAAATAATTTTTTAATAGATTATAATAAAATTTGATGATGTGATTGAAAACTCGATAAAAGTTGCGAGTTGTGATTGAAAATGAGTTTAAAAAAAAAAATGTACTCTAAGAAATGAGGATCGAATGGAGGCAAAATATTGCAATGCATACAAATTTTACTATCATTCCATAGTCTTTACTTACATACCAACATGTAGAGAAAGTCGATCCAATGATTTTCAAATAAAACTCAGACTTAAGCTTTAGTCAAAGATAACAATTTACAACTTATGTTTTAGATTGATCAAATCTTAACCTAAGTGCATGTTTGGATTAAATTATAAAGGGGCTATACATTTCTAATGAAAATGATTAGTAGATCTCATGAAGTAAAAATATAAAAATAAAAAACATGCACACAATGAGTATTTATTTGCATCAAATTTTTGTATATCTCGATTGTTCACCATCTCTGGTATTAAAGAAAAGAAGATGAAGAGAATATTCTGCTGTATAATTCAACCCGAATGCTGTACATACAAGGATGGATATAAATAGTGTTAAGTCTGCATTTTACAATCAAACCAACTAACTTTATAACTACTTTCTAACTAATTTGATAGCTGGAGCATTAGTTGTTGAGCTGAGCTGGAAGCTGTTATTCTAATACACCTCCCTCAAGATGAACTATGAAGATCGACAATAGCCATCTTGGACATTAAAGAAAAAAAGAGTAGCGCTAGCAAAGCCTTGGTAAAGACATCTGCCAATTGGTGCTGTGATCGAATTGGTAGCAATTTGATGAACCCATCTGCAACTTTATCACGAACAAAATGGCAATCAATCTCAATGTGTTTTGTTCATTCATGGAAAATAGGATTACTGGCTATGTGAATTGCAGTCTGGTTGTCACAAAAAATCAAGGCTGAAGATGTTGAGGCGTGCAAATCAAGAAGCAACTGATGTATCCAAACCAATTCACTGGCAGTTGCTGCTAATGCTCGATATTCAGCCTCTACAGATGACCTGGAAACTGTTTGTTGCCTTTTAGCCTTCCATGAAATCAAGGAATCCCTAAGAAAAACACAAAGACCTGTGATGGACTTCCTTGAATCAAGGTGTGAGAAGAGAGGCTGAGAAGAAGCAGGAAGGAAGAAAGAAGAGAAGCTGAGAAGAGGTGCAGCGCCTAGGCGCTGGAGTGGGCGCCTAGGAGCTGCCCAGTTTCTACCAAGCAGAAACTGTGCGCCTAGGCGCCCCGAGTGCAGAAGCCAAACAGAATGTTGGCGCTTAGGCGCCCCGATAGATTTATATATACCCGATTTTTTGCCTCTTTCATAAGATAACACAAGACCTAGGCACGATTTTGAGAGAGAAAAATAGAGAGGGCTTGGATAGAATTTTAGAAGTAAGAGTTTGTTCTTCTTGGGTATAAATTCAAAGCCATTTTTTCTTTCTTTGGGATTAACTTGAGGCTTGTTCAAGTAATCCAATACATTGTTCTTCCAATATACATTGAAATCATTTCTTCCTCATTTCCTTGTTCTTGAAGTGGTTTGGATATTTTTCACATTGTCAACTTTGATTGATCTTTGGGCTATCTTTGGGAGGTGTTTTCCCAACACAAGGCAAGATCCCCAATCCGCATCAGCAAATGTACGGAGTTGTAGAGAAGAAGAAGCTGAGAAGAACAAGCCTTGACCTGGAGCATTCTTGAGGTACTATAACAGATGATGTGCAGAATTAATATGCGGTCGTCGAGGTTTGGAGACAAATTGGCGCAATTTGTTGACTGCAAAGGTGATGTTTGGGCGAGATATATCAAGTAAAGCAATCGACCAATGAGCCTACGGTATGATGAAGCCTTAGTTTCATCCAGAAAATCACCCTCAATGGAACTCAGACGAACTTTAGGATCTATAGGTAACTGGGCTGGTTTGCAAGCTAGAAAACCTATGTCCTCTAGTAGTTGTAATGTATAATTCCTCTGGGATAGATATACTCCACTATTTGTTCTTGTTATTTCTAGACCAAGGAAATATTTCAATTTTCCAATATCTTTGAGCTTGAACTGGCCATGTAGAAATGATTTTAAATCATCAATAACACCAGAATTTGAACTTGTTATGATAATGTCACCAACATATACCAGTAAAGCAACAGAAGATGAACCTGAACCCTTTGTAAACAAGGAATAATCTGACTTTGATTGACAAAATCCATGTGCAATGAGAGTTTGAGAGAATTTTAGAAACCATTGTCTAGAAGCCTGACGAAGGCCATAAATGGACTTGTGAAGCTTACAGACTGGCTTCCCCCCTTTGGCAATTTCGGCAGGCAAATTAGAATCCCTAAGGGTAGGTCCATATATATTTCTTCAAAAAGATCTCCATTTAAGAAAGCATTATTTACATCTAATTGGACAAGACTCCACTTGTTGATGGCAGCAATAGCAAGTAGTGTTTTGACAGTAACCAACTTAGCAACTGGGGAAAAAGTGTCTACGAAATTCAGGCCGTCCTGCTAACTATAGCCCTTGGCTACTAGTCGTGCTTTATACCTGTCAATGTGTCCATCAGGGCCATATTTGATTTTTATAAACCCACCTGCAGCCAATAGAGTCTCTTCCCATGGGCAAATTGGTCACAGTCCATGTTCTGTTCGATTTCATGGCTGCTAATGGGCAGAATTGATGGCTAGATGTAGAATTGTGGTTCAACATTGAACGATACATTGAGAAGGAAATTTTTATGTGAATTGGAAAAGGAGTTATATGAGATGTATTTGGATAAAAGGTAGGATGAGTTGTTACTAGGAGGTGGTTTATTTGCTAAAAGGTTGCAATGAAACTCACGAAGATATGATGGAGGTCTGCAAACTCTATTTGTCCTTCTAGGGACGATAGGCAAGATTTGATTGGAATCTTGGCTTTGAGCAGAGACAGGAAGAATAGAATGCGTGTCAATAATAGGTGAATTAGCCTGTACAATGTCATTGATTGCAGTGGAAGAATTTGGAGCTGTATGATAGGTGTGGATGTCATCTGCACTTGTGTGGATGTCATCTGCACTTTGGTGGAAATCTGAAGATATATTAGGTAGCATAACATCAGGGAATGGATCGATCATATCTAGTGTAGGAGATATAGAGTGAAAGGAAAAGTATCCTTCATGAAAGATTACATCCCCGGAAACTATGAAGGTCTTTGAGGATATATCATACAATTTGTATCCCTTGACACCTGGGGGATAACCAAGAAACACGCAAGGTTTAGCTTTAGGATAAAATTTGTTTCTGTGAGAGGATAATGTAGAAGCAAAACAAAGACTCTCAAATAGTTATAATCAACTGGAAGTTCATGGAGTAAGGAAAAAGGTGTCATGTTCTTTAGGAGTGGAGAGGGAGTTCTATTAGTTAGAAAAGTAGCTGTAAGCACACAATCTCCCCAGAAGTTGATTGGCACCCTTGATTGGAAATATAATGCTCATGCTGCATTAAGGAGGTGTTGATGCTTCTTGTCAACCACAGCGTTCTGTTGGGGCATTTCAACACAGGTAAATTGATGGACAACACCCTTACTTTCAAAAAAATTCTGTGAATTTCAACTCAGGAACATTATCAGACCGAAATTTCTTAATTGTTCTGTGAAATTGAGTCTCAATAAGAGCAAAGAATTTGGGAACAATAAGCTTGGAATCGGATTTTTGTTTCATCAAATAAATCCATGTGAATCTGGTGCAATCATCGACTAAGGTGAGAAAGAATTTGTAGCCTGCATATGTAGAGGTATGATACGTAAAGAATTTGTAGCCTGCAAATGTAGAGGTATGATACGTTCCCCAAACATCGAATGGATTAAATCAAAAGCATTACTAGACAAATGATTATTCTATACAAATGATAGCCTTCTTTGCTTTGCCAGTGGACATACAAGACAAGGAACGGATTCATTATTCTTGTAATCAATACAATCAATTTGTTGTTGACTCTTCAGTAATCTCAATTTTTGGAAAGACATATGACCCAGCCTATTGTGCCAAATTTCACTTGTTACATTATTCGACATTGAACAAGTACTATTATTAACTGAGACTGACTTGCATAAGGAACTGGTTGAAAATGATGAGCTGGAGTCAATGACATAAAGGTCTGCCTTCTTTTGACCCTTGCCAATCATCTTCAAAGTGATCAGATCCTGAACCAAGCAAGAATCAGTGAGGAATGTGACACATAAAGCTGAATTCCTTGTCAAAGAATTGACTGACAGTAAGTTAAACTTGAACTGTGGTACATATAGAACATCATGAAGTGTCAATTCAGGGGATATATTCACACTTCCAATCGACTGTACAGGAATTTGTGTGCGATTTAGCAGTGTATCATATGCATTTTCAATGGACCTCAATGTTTGGAATGCTGAGTGATTAGAACATTTGTGGCTCGTGGCACCAGAGTCTACCACCCAATGTGAATTAAAGTTGGATGAATAGATATTGAGAAACATGTACCTGAAGCCTTACCAGAATTGGCACCAGAATTGACACTCATCTCAGAATTTAACTTTGTTGCCTGGAGATGAGTATTCAGCACATTCATCAATTGTTGGTATTGAACTGGGTTAAGTGTCTGGACAAATCTCCCAATATCCCCATCACTAGTTTGTGCTTGATTTATGACATCAACAGGTTCAAAAATCTGATTAACTATTGCACAATTTGCCTGATTGCCTGAATTATTTTGGATGTTTATCCCAGCTTTCTGCTTTGGTTTATACCCCGGTGGATAGCCGTGGAGTTTATAACACTTATTCACATCATGTCTACTGTATCCACAATAAGAGCAAAGTGGTCTTTCTTTCTTTTGAGGTCTACCATATTGATGTGTCAAGGTTTCCCTGGCATCACTATGAGTTATTCTTTTAGTGTCCTTTTGAGCATAAAATGCCATAGATTCAGTAGTTCCGGATGGATCATTCATTATACTGATTTTTCTTTGATTTTCTTCTTGAGAAACCAATGCAAAAACCTTGTTAATGGAAGGAATAGGATCCATTAACAGAAGCTGTCCCCTGATTTGAGCATATGACTCATGAAGTCCCATTAGAAAGGACATAACATATTCGGTTTGATGATATTCAAGTATTTTCTTACCTCCTCCACAAATGCATTTTCCACACAAACAAACAGGTTTATAACTACTAAGTTCTTCTTAAATTGTCTTCAACTTAGTGAAGTAAGTGCTTACAGAAGAATCACCTTGCACATGATTCATCAATTCTCGTTTTAACTGAAAGATGCGTGGTCCATTGCTTTGCTGATATCGCTTCTTCAGATTGGTCCATATTTCAGACACAAACTCAGAGTACAGCACACTAGCTGAAATTTCCTTGGACAGCGAATTGAGGATCCATGAAGTAACAATATTATTTTTACGGATCCACACATTCAGCAACTCCTGATTGTTTTCAGGTATTGGAATAGTTCCATTGATGAACCCCAACTTGTTCTTCACAAATAAGGCAATCACCATTGATCTGCTCCAGGATGCATAATCATCTCCATTTAACTACTATGAGACTAAAACGAGGCCAGGATTATCTGAACGATGAAGAAAATATGGACTAGATCCATTATCAACTGCTGAATTGCTAACTGATGATGACGAGGCATTTGGGGCATCTGTAGCTGTAGCCAAAATACGGAGGAATTATTTTGAAATTCTGATAAAGTTTGATTGGAACAGTGGAGAGCCTTTTATAGCTCTGATACCATATTAAAGAAAAGAAGATGAAGAGAATATTCTGCTGTATTATTCAACCGAATGCTGTACATACAAAGATGGATATAAATAGTGTTAAATCTGCATTTTACAATCAAACCAACCAACTAACTTTATAACTACTTTCTAACTAATTTGACAGCTGGAGCATTAGTTGTTGAGCTGAGATGGAAGCTGTTATTCTAACATCTGGAGGTGGTAAAATAAGAGAAATTCATTTGATTGGGTAAATAAACATGGAGGACTACTAGAAAACTTCATGATGCATGTGAGAATGCAGCTCCAATCTTTTTGGTGCAATGGATCGAGCTGTTCTATACGACTTATTCAACAATAAAATATTTTGTTGATTCACTTTATCGTGATTGCTTTATTATACAATAACTTACGAATTCATCTTTCGTTTAAGCAACTCTATTTTTTGATCAAATCACAGAATTTAACGATATATGGGAATGCGAACTTCAAGAAATGGAACACCATCTTGACTCTGAGAAAATACACAGAAATGACTCCTGGACTGTAACAAATTTTAACATTGGTCTTTGACCCATTAAATGAATTAAAAAAAAAATTAAGTTATAACATAACTTTACACTAAAAGGGCGATTTTACCCTTCAAGGCTACAGACTGTTTGAAAGTTTCCTCTCTAACCGACCGACCCAAAAAAAACCGACGCCACAATTGCCAGAAAAACTGACCGATCAACCACCGGCCGAAACCACCAACGTCGTGGTGATTTCAATCGACGACCTGCACGTATCCACCGGGCAAACTATTCCGGTTAGTTTCCTCGCAGGAAGTTTTTTTTTGTTCCAGTTTTCGTTCATTATTTTACGTTTATTTGATTTAATTAGATGAAGATGCATGAGTAGTTAGATTGTGGGTTATGTTGGGGTGAAAAATGTGAATTTTTTGGGCCTCTCCATCATCGACAATGACGATTTTCGACGAAGGGAAAACGCTGACTGTTAACAGTCGGGTCAATCCGACTGTTAACAGTCGGGCCATGGATTGTGAACAGTCTGGACCGACTGTTAATTTATATATATATTTTTTTGTTTATTTATTTAAATTTTTTTGATCAATTTTTATATTTAATTTATTTTTTATTTGATTAAATAGTAATTATGTTATTTATTTAATTTTTATAATTGTCTTTAATTTACATAATTTAATAATTCAATATTATCTAAAATTAACAACTTATTTTGTTCCTTTTATTTTTATTTTTATGAAATAATCTTTGATTTTTTTTCAAATTTATTTAAATAATATAAATGATCTTTAAATTTTTTAAAAATGTATTTAATTTGAA